ACCCCTGCTCACCAGGACACCCCTGCTCACCAGGACGCACCAGCCCACCAGGACACACCAGCTCACCAGGACACCCCTGCTCACCAGGACACACCTGCCCACCAGGACACCCCTGCCCACCTGGACACCCCTGACCACCTGGACACCCCCTCCTACTTTGAGGCTTCAGCCCCTCCCTCGTACCCTCTAAGAGCTGGGGCTGGACTTCCCAGGAAGTTGCCCCCAGATGCTGCTGGCTCCCAGGCTCTGGAATCAGAACCTGGAGCAGGCACTGAATAGAGCAGGTGTGGGGATGGGAGGGGGCCCAGCTGCAGCTTCCCCGCAGGGTCCAGAGGTCCAGGGGCGTCCCTCTTCAGCAAGGAGCATTCAGGTCTCCTAGTAAATGACCCGCTCAGAGATGCACACCCTAAGAAGCACGTTCAGAAATCAGTGGCAACAACAAAGTTAATAATGCCAGTCACAGGTGTGCTGGCCGCCGAGGGTGTGCTGAGAGGCCGGGCCTCTGCAGGTCCCAGGTGTCAAATGGAAACTTTCCACCTTTAAGAAAAGGGCATGTTTTTCTTACTTCGGGGTTATGTGCATGCTAGTGTGGGCATGCACACGCGCGCACACGCACATAGGCGTGCATATGCACACTCACACCGATTCATACGCAGCCACACACCCCAACAACACCTTTACCTTCTAGAATGTTTTTCTGCAGCCCAACGCCCCAACTCCCCTTGACAGAAGGCTCTGTTCTTAGACGCAGTGGCCTCTGCTTTCTCACATGTGGGACGGCTCTGTTGGGGTTTCTTGCAACCCTGGGTGCTCCCTTCATCACCAGGCCAGGGCAGCAGTCTGCTCGGTGAGCAAAAGGGCCATCCTGCCGCCTCTCTGCTGGGCTCTCAGAGGCTCCTGGGACGGGCAGCTGGGTGGGACAAGGACCTCACCATTGCCCAGGGGGTGTGCTGAGGCCCAGATGCTGGGCTGCCTTTCCACGGGGCCCGAATACCTGGTCCCTCATTGGACAAACGCGGAGTGTGCAGACTCTCGCACATAGGATGCCTCTGACCCTCCCCGGTTCTCTCTCCCCCCTCCAGATCTCCGAAGACCTGAGCACTGAGAGGCTCTGCATGGATGCTGGTCAGGCAGGCTCCGGCAGCTGGCTCAAGTACATCCGGGTGGCGTGCTCCTGCGATGACCAGAACCTCACCATGTGCCAGATCAACGAGCAGGTAGGTGCAGAGTTTGCACACGGGCCCTCGGAGCGGTCCTTGGAGGGGCGGGGGGCTCGGGCCCCAGACCGATGAGAGGGGCCTGCCGAGGTGAAGGGTCGGCTGCAGCTCTGCCAAGGACTTTAGCCCAGCCCTGTCCCACGGCGGGGGCAGCGATTTGAAACTTGGCCAGCGCTGAGTTTCCGGGAGCTCAGCGACGCCCCACGGTTGCTCCATCAGAGACCTCAGCTGGCAGCTTGCCAGGGCTCAAGAACCAAAAGATGGTGGTTTCCATGAAGGAAAGCCGCGGGAGCGGCAGGTCCTGAAACCACAGGGGTCCCCTTCCCTGCTCATGTTGCCCCAGGAAGGGGTGCAGAGCCGGCCAATCGCTTATGAACTGTTGTCTCTGGGGCTCGGTCTGGCCAAGCTCTCTCAGAAAGGGTCAGCACTGCCCTCTGGGAGCGCCCTGTGATCCCTGTGGCTTCCCAGCCAGCCTGCGGAGGGAACCGGCCTTGTTTGGGCAAAAAAATCCTGGCCCCACTGGTAGCCAACTGATCTTTCCTGAGCTCGGTGGCCCTGACTTCAGCCCCTGGCCCCACCAGGGCCAAGGGACTTCTCACTTCTGCTGCCAACCCTCCTGAGGTCGAGGACCCCGCTCAGCACGCTGGATCCACGCTAGCGATGGTCCATGCTGCCCTAGGACCACAAGCACTGCTGGCCCTCATTCCTCGCGGTGGCTGTCTAGGCCGTGAGTGGAGCAGGATAGAAGATGCCATATGCAGAGTTTCTTTCGACCAAGAAGGCCACGCATCCCCAGTGCTGGGAGCTCTTAGTCTATGTCTTTAATTACAAGTTTGCAAGTGGCCCCTGGAGCCTCCACCCTCCAAGAGCCAGGCCCCTCGGGCACATTTCCACTGAGCTCCCAAAGCGCTGGGCTCCTCGGGATGTTGGGGGTGCCCAGCCTCTCCCATCAGAGCAGTTTGCTTTTGCCTATAATATCTTGGGGTTACACATGAGATTTCATCTGCAAAAGGGATTCCACTGCTTTCAAAAATGTTTTCAGAGACCACATAACAAAGGGTACATTCTCCCATCGCCTGTGCAAACCATTAAAAGCGGTTCGAGGCTCTTGACTTCAGAGAAACAGTTTTGCATTAAGAAACACAGAGAGCACACACCAGGGAGGTCCCTAGGACCCCCATAAGCTGCCCTCCGGCTCTCCCTCTTCTGCTCAGGCTCCTTCTCAGCCCTGGGGCCCAGCCTGGATTGAGCAGATTCCTGCTGGACACAAGCTGGTGCTTGCTTCACAAACCGGTGAAGTTTGAATCCACCGCTGCTCCTGGGATGTCTACAACTTGTACTTAGAACCCAGCATTTTGAAAATTAGGTGGGTTTTTTTCCGATTACAAAAAAATATTGCAGAAATTAAAGCAAAAGAAGAATCATAAAAAATTAGAACTTAAAAAAAATACTTTTCCTTCCTCCAAATGAAGGTGAAATGTGAGTGAAGGAGAATCGGATGTAGGCACATGGAGAGAGATTTGCTATCTAATGCCCCTTCCTCTGTGGACTGCGGTGTCCTCGGTCGTGTGTCCGGAAGCTGGGGGGCCGTGGAAGGAGCACCGTGGGGCCAGGCCCGGGAGGGCACTTCTGTGAGATACAGAATAGAGTAACGAAAGATTCGGATTCTTTATTTAAGAAAGATGTTTGCTAGTTTGAGCCAAACTTTAGTAGCAAAGTAGGTACCTTTTTGTGGCCAGCTTCTGGAAAAGCAAACAGATGTGTGAGCTTCTCAAAGAGGGGCCTGTCTTCAAACATCCTTGTTTTATTATTAAATTTCAGGGGAGCGTGCATGTCCGCTCCACGTGAAATGGACTGCTTTGCAGCAACGTCTTTCCATCTCTTTCCACCAGGGGATAGATACTTTCTGCTGGGACGGAATGATAGTCCTTAACTCTTACTGATTCTCTTAGCCCCATTTTGGTCTCCCAACGCTTACTGTTCCCAAGGGTCCAGCATAGGGTCAGAAATGCTCCCGGCTCTTTTACTCAAACCCAATATGACATCGAAAGTCCTTCAGACCCCTCCCACCTGCTGGATGTTTCTCTCCAGCACGGCCTCTGGGGATTAACTATCCCTACTTCAGCTCACAAGCTCAGCAGGAACTTGGGGTGCCCATTAAGCATATGCAACGCTGACATCACCCGAAGCATCAAAATTGTTCTACCTGGGGCATTTCAGATCCCCAGCCCTCTGAGGGAGAGAGGAGCCCCCCACCCTTGCATCACCTCCGAGGACCATGCGGCTGCTCCTGGTGTTACAGAGCAATGAGATGCCCGCCAGTGTCCCTCCCGGGGAGGCGCACCTGTAGGCTTAACCAGCCGTGTGGAGTGGCCTCCAAGTCACGCAGGGAAGCAGGAGTAGGGGAGATGCAGGAGGCTGGCCGCCCGGGCACCAGGTCAGGAGGTGCTCGGAAGGCTGTCAGGTGCCTCAATTTTCATCCCAAAGTCTTGCCTTTGCGTTTCAGATATCAGAGGAAAATGTGCAAATTGTGGGGCATAGTTTCCTTTGCAAAATAATACTAATAATTTTAAACTCTTATAATATGAGAAACTGCTCTTAGATAAATCCACACAGGACTCAATATTCGTTGGGTGAATAAAGCGAATTTTAGAAATGACTTTTTTTTAAATTATTTATTTATGTTGAGAGAGAGAGAGAGCATGAGCGGGGAGAGGGGCAGAGCGACAGGGAGAAAGAGAATCCCAAGCAGACTCCATGCTGAGCGCGGAGCGCAAAGCAGGGCTGGATCCCACAACTGTGAGATCACGACCCGAGCTGAAATCAAGAGTTGGACACTTAACCAACTGAGCCACCCAGGTGCCCCTAGAAATGTCTTTTTGAAAGGGATACAATAGACTGTTTTTAGTTAAAAAAAAACAAACAATTTTTTCAACAGTCTCCCCAAGGCTGACCTGCTCCCTCTCGGTGGCCACAGAAAGTGCCTCCATCCCCGTCCTGACTGTTGGAAACACCGGTTGCCACCAAGTGGAATAAAAATGTCCCTGAAATATTAATAATAAAACAAAGATTTTTGAAGACAGGCTTCTCTTTGAGAAGGAAACATTACATGATATTAATGGGGTTTCTCAGATTTCCGTAATCCCAAGGGTTTCAACCAGGATTTCCGGCACTTATGGACACCCCCTGCCACGCACACACACAAACGCATGGAAGTGAACAATCCCCCTTTCTCTCTCTCCATCTCACACACACACACCAGCTCCCGACGGCACGGACATAGAAGGGACAGCATCCAGACTGAGAGTCGAAGATCCATAATGCAGGGTGGGGTTTGCCAGATGGTTTTCAGAAGCTCAAGTCACATGACCTCAGCCTCAGTTTTGAGAGGACGAAGGAGATGGGGCAGGAGGGGGTCTCAGGGTCGAGAAGAGAACGTCTCTGAAGTCACAGCTCCCAGAAGAAATGATCGGGCAGAGGAGGAGGCAGCTCTGAACAGGAGACGTGCCCTCTGGAGAGAGCCACACATCTCCGTGAGCTCAACCCTGCCTACAGCTTCTCACTCGTGCCACGAGACCCCCCTCTTGGCGCCCTGTGGCTCTGAGAGGTCCCAGCCCCAGGGGGCCTCGAGCACAGGTGGCCTGCTTGTCACTCCGCTCTGTCTTCTCTGCGGCTCCGGATGGGGGAGCCCAGCTCAGCAGCGGCCACGCCGGGCCACGAATTTCCTCCTGGACTCAGTCCCATCAACTCAGCAGTGACTTGGGGCTTGCTACCCGCGTGGAGCCTGCAGACGGGTGGCCACGTTGCTGGCAACGAAGCGTCCACAGCAGGCAGCTGGGGGGATGGAGCTTTTCTCTGGGATTTTTGGGGGTGGTCAGATCACAGCCGAAGACACTGGGGTGCTTTGATTTACCTTTCCCGCTTAGCGTAAACAGAAGGCAAGGGAAAGCCCACGGGCACCTCAGTTCAGTCTGGGTGGCATGACGCCTCCTCCGGCCCCGGCGACTTCGCCTCCCTCTCCCGCTGCCGCCCGTCAGCTCCTGCTTTTCCTTTAGGAAAATCCGAGACACTCAGATCACCCCTGGGTGGTTCTTTCTCCTGCAGTTATGAGCAAACGAGTTTGTTTGAAATGTTTCAGGAGACAGACAGGGTCTGTCCCTGGATCGGTTTCAATGTTCAGAGTGAAAACAAGAGCTGGGGAGTAAGGCGCGCGCGGAGGCCTGGTCACCGCACGGCTCTCTCCCGGTCCCCCCTCGCCTCCCCAGGGCAAGGATGTTGGTGGCGGACGTCACGTGGCCAGTGAGGCTGAGGATGGCGTGACAGGGTGCTGGGGTCACAAACAGACATTGGGGAGCATGACTCAGGGGCTCCAGACCCCCCCAGCACACCGAGGAGAGGCCGCGAGGCCCCCGCCGCACCACCACGGCCGGCCAGGCGGGGGGGATCCCCAACAGCACCAGCACATTCCCCGGAGCAGAGGGGCCGGGGCTCCCCAAAGTGGAAGCAGACGAGCGTGTTAAAGAAAGGCATTTCGTTCGCAGATGAGCCGACGGATAACCACGCGGGCACGAGCGCTAAGGCTCGCTCGTAATGCAAACCCGGTGCTCCCGGCTGAGCGCGCTGCCCAGGCAGCTTCGCTTTTGCTTTCGCTTCCTCTCCCTCCACGCGGACCCCTCCGCCTGTCGCCCGTCGCCTGTCGCAGCGTGCGAGCGATCCGCCGGGTTGGCACTCGCGGGATGGCATCCAGCACCCTGTTCCTTCCTCCCTCTGCTCTCGTCCCCCACGATTTTCTAAATTAAACATTGTAAACCGATTGGCCGGTTTCAATGGTAGCTCGCAAACAATTAGATACAATTTCCCCTTTGAAATGAAAAGGGCAGGGGATTCATTGTAGCGTTTCTTGGCGGGTTTACAAAAGACTCAACATATATATCAAATGCCTTTGAGTCCGAAAGCTGCCGAATTTTACGGGGCCCTCTTCAGAGCAGATTCTCTCTCTTCGGCAAAGAATAAGATATAAATTCAACCGTGCCGTCACGATATGGGCTGTGATCACTTGTCAGGATTCATCAAATGGAATACTTTATTAGGAGACGCCACCTAAGAGGGCTGAAGCCGTCCCTCTAAAGGCGACCAGGAACGTTTGTGTATGCATAGACGCACTCTCCAGGTCCAAACTGCACCGCCAAGGCAGAGAGAAATGGGCTGGATTTTTCCCCACGTGTGTGCACCTGGGAAGGTGACCGGACAGAGCAGCAAGACCGTGAGGATGTGGACATAATTGCTTCAGCCCCGCAGGGGAAGACAGGAGCGTGGCAAGCCCCAGGCACGCCGAGCCGTCTCCTCTGTCGCCCGGGGAAAGGAACTGTTTGCGTGTCCCTGCTCTGGCATCCGTGGTTTTGTAAACTCCAAATGCTCAAGCCCCCAGGCAGCCTCAGGGCCCGGTGTCCGCAGCCTTTCCGAGGCACAGACGGCCCATGGTTTGGGGAGAGCAAGCAGTGAAGACTCACAGGAGCATTTGCAGAGTCCCCAAAGCGGTGAGACCACACGGGCCTCTTCAGGGGCCCCTTAGAGACAAAGAAGCCCGAGGACCGGCGTCCCCCCTCCAGCCGGGCCACTCTGATTCCACTCGCTGGGTGCTTGTCTCTCGTGAACAGACCCTCACATAGCACACCAGGGGCCTCCGCAAATTCCAGCACGATTCCCAAGGCCAGGACGGACAGACAGACACACCGAAAGACACTTCGCTCATGTTACCGAGACACTCCTTGAACGTTTCTCAAACTGGTCCAAGCAGGGAGCGCTGGGCCACCCTCATGTTTCTGAGAAATGCATCCACTCTGGGCGGCAGGGGGGCGGTGGGGGGAGTGTGGCCACCCCCCCACCTCCTCACTGCCCCCTAGGGTAGTTTGGGTGGAGTTCCTCATAATTTAAATTGTAAGGTTCTACAATTAAGTAGGAATGAAAATCATGGAACTTAAATCCCCATATTCAAGATGAGTGTCTATCCCTGTGAGTTGATTTGATATTTAAAAAACAAATTCGAGGAAGTGGACCAACCTGACAGCCATTTTAAATTTGAACTATTTGGTCTGAAAGAATGTTGTTAAGGGGACAGTGACGTTCATCTTTAGCAAGGGTCTGTGTGCATGAGCATGGCCTGTGTGAAATCCAACTTTTCTCAAGCAATTTCCCCACCTGGTGTTGAGAACATGGCCGTTCACCCACTTGTGCCCGAGCTCCGTCCACCTGCAAGGACCCGCCTCCCCATGTCGGGACAGAGAGGAAGAGAGCACAGTTGTCGCTCGGAGGACCCGGGTTTGGTGCAGTTCGCCCACACTCGGTGGACCCGCCGACTTTGAAACAAGGACCTGACTTCAGAGCCGGTCTGTTTGGCCTCGTTCCTTTGAAAGCTCTTTAAGAGCAGACGTGGATTGGCTCCCGTGAACTCAGCTCTTGTGGCTACCCTCGCTCTCAGATCCTGAAACCAGAAGGAAGGTTACAGCTGGGCCTTGCCCAGCCGCACACCCGGAGCCCCGAGACAGGGTTTCAGGGGCCTGGGGGCTGCAGCTGTTTGGGGGGGGAGGGGGAGGTGGGGCTCTGGGGTGATGTCCCCTGCACGGCCCTTGTTCCTTTCCCCACAGCGGCTGACCTGGCATCAGAGGGGAGGAGCTCTGTCTCCTGGAGGAACAGACCCCCACCCCCCCCAAGGGGCGCACAGTGGAAGGGAGCTTACCAACCCACGTCAGGAATTTTGCAGGGGCTTCAGGAATCATGGATTACAGGCTCAGCTCAGTAAATGCGCAATCTGTAACGCCCAGAGGCCTCAGTCGCACCGAAGCCGAAGCCGGCCTTTGTCCCGGGAAGTGGGCAGAGCCCGCGGACCTGGAACTGTGACTTTCTCCGCGTGTCTGGCTGATAAGGCCTTTGTGCCAGTGGGAACAGGTCGTAAAAACACCCGGCTTCTGTGTGCACCAGAGTCGCCCTCACACCTCCTTGCCCTCGGCACCCGCGGAGTTCGGCAAAGTTCACGCCGATTCCTGTTCATCTCCCGCCCCCCTTCCAGGTGGAGGCAGATTGGGGACACCCCCGCCCCGCACCCGGCCCGGCCCTGCAATTAGCACTAATAGCGATTAATTCCATCTGCCGCTCAAAGTCCAGGCCACTGCCCTCGTGTCCTGCGCTCCAGCCCCGCCAGGTGCCTGGAGGACTGTCTCGCGGTCCTGGGCTGGGGAGGGGGTGCCTGCTGGGCACAAAACTGCTCCCCACGGCCAAGAGCGCTAGACCCTCCCACTGCTCCGTGGCTCTGGGCTGTGCCAGCAGCGGGAGCGTGGGTCCTGGGGAGGCTGGGCAGCCTGGGAGTGCGGGTGGGGGCTGCAGAGGGGTCCCAGCAAGGTCGGGCAGCCCTTGAAGCTGGGAGGGGTGTGGGGGCGGGGACCTCGGCGGCCCTGGAGTGCGGGTAGGGGATTCCAGGAGGTCCAGCAGCCCAGAGAGCCGGGGTGGGGGGGTCCCAGGAGAGCCAGCGGCACTCGGAGAGGGGGGTGAGGAGGGTGGGGGGTCCCGGAGGCCGGGTGGCCCTCCGAGGGGGTCGGACGGGGAGGCGGAGAGGGGAGGCGGGCCGCGCCCAGCTCCCCCACCCGCCAGCCCCAGCCGGCCGGAGTAGGAGCCCAGCAGCCTGGCCGGAGGGAGGACGCGGCCCCGGGAGCCGCGCACGCACGGAGCGAGACGCCAGGTCAGAGCGGGGCCTCGGGGAGGGATGCGGCGGCGGGCGGGCCCACATTGCCCTCTAACGGGGCCCCGAGGGAAGCCGGCCGCAGACCCTCCTCTGTCCCCAGCCGGGCCCCAGCCTGCGCTGCACTGAATGCACTTGCCGGATGCGCTGGCCCATGGAAGGGTGCTGAGCCTGCTGAATGAATGACCCGCCTAACCAGTTGCGCGCTCGGGGCTTCCCAGGCTTTGTTGGAGTGTCCCATATACTTTGGACCCCATTTTGAAATGCAGTGGCTCAAGTGTGATTTTTGTGAAACAATTATTTGGCCACTGTCCTTTTTTAGATTCTACTCTCCATTTTAAAATCTCGTCACTAATTCGCGATGTATCTGAGAACAATTGCCAAATAAAATTAACGAGTACAGGGGAGAGGGAGTTTGTGCACTCTGTTGGTACCGCTGTGGTGCCCTGGGAGTAAATCCAGGCTAGGGCTGGGGACCCAGTGGGGCTTTGTGTGTCCTCTCGGGAGTTCCCTGCTGTTGTCCCGGGGTGAGTCAGGACCCGCGGTTTGTGAGGGAGTCCACAGGGACAGGGCCTGTGGAGGGGAAAAGCGGCCCGACAAGAGAGGAGGAAGCTCAGCCTCCTGGATGTTTCCCAGGGCCTGGGGGCGAGGGGAGAGGCAGGAGTGGTGTGCGGGCCATGTGCCCAGCTCAGTCTTTGGGTATCTGAGCTACGTCCCACTGCTGCTGGACAGTCTGGCCTGATCCCTCACCCCCAGGTCTTCCGTGAGGAGGGCAGTGCTGGAGGCCCTCCGGGGGTGGGTGGAGGGAATCAGTCTGGAGAAGCTGGGACCCCTGCATTTCCCGGGGCAGGTGGAATCATCTTGGTCTTTCTCTGGCCTCCTGGTCAGTCCTGCGGCTGGGCCTTCGGGCTCCTTGGTTACTGTTATCTGGATAGAGACCCAGGGTGGTAGGCAGATGATTGGCTGTTTGACATTTCTGGACTTGAGATGCAAGATCCCTGGTGTCAGCCCCACTCATGTGAGGAGCTGAGACCTGCCCCCCACCTAGGACCTGTCACTGCTCTCCAGAGAGGGCAGGGGGTCCCAGGCAGGGAAGACCCCGGTCCTCTCCCACAGTCACTCAGGCCTTTGGAACCCATTCCCTGGGTGCCATCCCAAACAGGCCTGCCCTGGTGCCCTTCTGAGCTGTAGGGTTTTCCAGATCTTGGCCACACCTCCAGGGCAGACGGCCCCTTTTCCAGATGTGTGTCGGCAAACTACAGAGCTCCTCAGAGTACTGAGGCTGGACGTTCCAAATTCACCTCCCCTTGACCTCAGAGTCTGCTTCTCCAGGCTGCAGGACCTACCCTGAGCCCCCTACACCCCTCCCTGTTCTCAGGGACACCCCGTCTAGCCCCCGATGGCTGTTAGGCACCGAGCTTGCTGCAGGCACACGTGCCCCTCTGCCTTCCCTTGCAAAGGGTGTCCCCGCTCATGTGAGACTCCCAGCCTGCTGCCCGGGCCCACAGAGCCTCTGTCTGAGCTCATGGCCATTTTCAAAACATGCAGATTCACTCTCGACCCCCTCTAGACCCCAAGCCCACACCTCCCCCAGCAGCAAAGTGTGTCTGTGTACACACCGAGAAGAGGAGCCTGAGAACCAAGCCGGGCACCGCTCCCGGATGAAAAGAGAGACCCTCCCTGATATTTCCCACTGGGACACCCCATGCCTGGGAACTTTCGGGCTGATCCTCAGTGATTTCAACTTGCATCCCCTTTACCAACATCCAACAACTGGATGAAATAAATTAAAAGGGACTCTAGTCCTTCTGAGCATATTCTACCAAGTTCCAGAGGGGAACCTCTTAGCAGCAATTAGTAGGCAGGTCGAGTGGCCGGCAGGCCGGGCCCTGAGAAGAGCAGCATCGCCTGCGTGCGCCCAGCGTGGCCTCTGAGCTACAAGGACGGCCGCCCTCACCCCTTCTCTCTGCTTTTCCACCCTAGATTTATTATAAAGTCATCAAGGACATTGAGCCCGGGGAAGAGCTGCTGGTGCACGTGAAGGAAGGCGCGTACTCCCTGGGGACGGTGCCCCCCAGTCTGGATGGTAAGCCCCCCGCCCTGCAGGAGCTCCTGAGGCCTCCCTGTCACGTCACACCGCATGACGGGGGCCGCTCTCCTGCGCTCCGGCCCCAGGCCCCCCTCCCGACCTCTCAGCCGAAGCATCTGCGGGTTATACGAGCTACACGCCGCATTCAAGATAGCCCTTCGGACAATAGGAGTGAATGGGTGTCATGTGGCATTGTATCTGCCATGGCAGAATCCTGGGGGGATTTGTTAAACTATATTATTATTATCAGCAGCAGCAGAGTTTGCTCTCCTCAATACTTAAAAACAAAAAACAAACAAACAAAAACACAAAGTTTTGTGGCTTGGAAACCGTCGCCCTCCAGAGCCATGGGAGACGTTTGGGGCTCATTTAAGAGAGACCAGTGACGGCGTGTGAGTCTTTGAAAGCCATGCCTGTCTGTAGGGAACAGCAAGAAGTCCAAGAGAAAGGTTAAGGGAAAACTGATTTTGTGAGAGGAAACCCGGGGCGCTGAGGGGAGTGCCCCAGGGGCAGGGATGGCGGCTGAGCTCCTCCAACTGTCCACCCAAAGCGTTCCCACTGCCCTCCGCTTGGTGCTTGTCCAGTGGGCTCGCTGCCCTCCACCCCCATCCACACCCGAGTGCATCGCAGAGGACGTTAGAAAAATTCCTGCAGCAAAGAGGCTAGGATTTCTGAGATGCAGATTTATTTTCCTTCATCCACATTGTGAAGCAATGTGCCATTCACCTTGGGGTTCTGGAACCGTTTTTAAGTCCCATTCGAGGAGCGCTGTGTTGGCAGCGGACGACTATCCATTAACTCCCTGCGTGCCGCTGCCGAGCACGCGGTGTCTTTTTTTGGAGCGAGACCCCGCAAGTGAGCAGAAAAGCAGCCTCTCCTCCTGGCGGGGGCTGGTGATTCCGCTCACGCTGGAGCAGGGGGGAGGTTGGTTTTCCCCTTCCTGTCTTTCTTTCCCTCCCCTCCAAAGGCACAGAGGCTTAATGATTAACGCCACTTACCGCAAGTTCCTCTGATAATGTTACGTGAGGGAGTGGCCCTGGCTGGGCCTGGGAGCAGACGCAGAGACCTCTGCCTTAATTTACCCTTCCGATCCCGAGCGTGGCCCAGCAGTGAGGGTCCTTCCTCCTCACGGGCCGTATCTCCAGAGGCCACAGAGCCGGATCCTATCTGTACGCGCCTCTGAAGTTTGGTTTTAATTAGGCCATCGAGAAAAGAAAAATAAATGGCTGAGGTCTGGGTCGTGAGGGGATGGTCTCATTTTCCTTAAAATAATTGTTGAAAAGACCGATAGAGCTCAGGTAGCGCAGCAGAACTCGGAAAGATAAACCCACTTACCTCAGGGGAGCACCCGGCGAGGAGGTTTCGTTTGTGTAATGAAACTTCTTTCTTCCAAAAGGTTTTAAAAACCTTGATTGCTATCCACCACCACGCCGCCCCCCCAACCCCGGCCCCCAATCTCAAATAAGCTGGGTCCACATTTCCCTAATAATTCGTCAAACATTTGTGGGCTAATTGCTTGCCACACATAATGGTCCAGCATCAAATGTCTGACTTTTCATACTCTCTGCTGTCGCGGTCACCCCCTTGCCCCCCAACAGCCGCCCCCTCCCCAGCTAAACTCGGAATCGCACAGAAAGAAAATGCAAAAATGTTCCTCACTAAGATAATTATCATAAAAAATCTTTTATCCCAGCCCCAGCTAAATGCAGAGGCCCCTTATCACGGCAGGAATTTGGAGTGGGCTCTCCAGCGCTTTTGAGCCTCAGTCTGGTAGATTAGCATGTAGATGCCACATAATTGTGTCCCCCTCGGCTCTCTGAAGCCATTAGGCACTGATTTATTTTTCTGTTACATTCCTGCTCTGCCATGAAAAGTTGCTGATGGAACTGCGGGTAGACAGCCAGATGCACACCTGACATGCCACATCGGGCTGCCACGCCCGGGTCCGGTCTGGTTTGGGGAGAACGTGGAGCTTCTGCCCCAGCCCGCGGCCCCCACGGACCCCCCACCAGATTCCGATGGAGGGAGTTCAGTCCCGAATCACAATTTTTGTGTGCTGCCGTTGGGGGCGGGGGCCTTTGCGGGGGGACAGTGTTCAGGTATCGAGGAAGAAACAGAGGCCCCGGGTTGCCAGCCCGCTGGGGGCAGAGCGCACCAGGCCTGCGGGTCTGAGCCTGCGAATGCTCTTTCAAAGCCGCAGCTTTGCAAAGAAATGCACTTCCAATTTCCCTGCAAGTGACTCAGAGCAGAGGGAAGCCACTTTCGGATTCATTAGTTCCGGCGACTTTTTATTTTGTTTTTGCTCTCAGTGGAGAGGGGAAAGATTTCTCTTTCAGGAAAGCTTCTTGCTCTTGGGAGAAAATAAAGAAAATCATTTCCATTCAAATATGCTTTTCTTTTGAGAAAGGCTCAAAATTGTTAATTTCCCCCCCCATAAGAAGTCAAGAGGATGCAGTGAACTGCGTATAAAGCATATGAGACAGATTATAATATAATATAACATAACATAACATAATACAACAACATGATCTACTATAATACCATATAATACAATGTAACATAATATAACCATAATGTAACATATTCTTTTAGTTGTTTTTTTTTTCAATACGGAATTATCGTGGACCACATGGGCTGTGCGCATCCTTCGTGGCACATCCAGCGAGCCCCGGGCAGGGGCGCTGCATGCCCACCTTACCTGCGTGGAGGATGCTGGGACACCTGTCCACACCGCAGCACGGGGGGCGGGGGGAGGTGGCCAGGCTCACCCATGGCCAGCCCCCAGCTCCATCCTTCACCCGGGGCAAACTTGGGTCCGTGGAGGGATGAGGAGGCAGGGGAGGAAGGCAACAGTTATCTCCCCGGTCTGTTTCACGGCCTCAGGATGTCCTCCCATGCCATCAGCGTGGGAATCGGGCTCAGTTTTCATTTTAAGTCCAAATTCCAGATCAAAACTGAGAAAGTTAAGTTGGTCGGTGGTATGGATGGGTGGGGTTGGCCTTTCTTCTTGTCTTTGTTTTCAAATTTCAACTTCTGTGACTGTTCCCAGTCGGGTCCAGAAAGAGTAAACTACCAACTGGCATTTCGAACTGACTCACAGCGCCGGTGGCGGTGGGAGGGCCCCAGGAAGTCAGAACAAACCCACAGGGGCAGCTTTGTGGGGTCGAGGCATCCGGCTCCGCTCTGAAATGGTGTTCCCGGTCCTCAGATGGAGAGGAAGTCCACATCTCTAAAGACGAGGAGGGCCTGCAGGGAATGCCAGGCCGTTCAGAGCGCACACACCACGCTTGGCGCTCTTCTGGGCCCCTGGCGGGAAGCTGGGACTCTGCCACCCGGCTTCCTGGGCCCCGCCCAGCGCCATGGTTCTGGTTACACGGCTCTGCCACCTCCTCTCCCAGCATCCCGGCCTCCGTTTACCCGTCATCAGGCGGCCATAAAAAGCGTCTCCCCCTGGGTGCGCGTGGATGCCTTCGACGCACCAGCAGCATGAAGCTCCGAGCTCGGTGCCGGCTGGGTGCGGGCTCCCGAGACCTCGAGTGTCCCCACGGCTGTGCACGTTATTTTCCCAGGAGACGTTTCTCCTGAAGGGCTCACGCGCTCGAATTCTACTTCAAAGACAACGCTATGTAGACTTGCAGGGGGATTGTTTTGTGATGTGCATCCTCCCTGGCCTTGGCCTGGCATTCCACCCCACTACCTGGGGACCGGCCCCGTACTTGGATGGCTTTTGTTTTAGGATCTTCTCCGCCTTCGCGCTCCAGGCGGCCGCGGGCCCCACCGCCCCTGCTCCTCCTGCCCCTGCTCTGCCTGCATTCTGCCGGCCTCGGTGTCGGGAGGCACACCCTCCCTGTCTCCTCCAGCCCGTGCCTGGGGTTTGCGTGGACCGGCTGGCCTTGCCTCCCTCCCAACAATTCTGCAGCTCAGCATGTGTCCGGGACAAGCTCCAGGGGCGGCCTTTCTGGGAGGTGTTTGGGGCAGAGACTTCCAAGCCCAGAGGCTCAAACCCATGCTCTCAGCCCCAGACTGCCAGACAGCGTGAGCTGCTTTTTCCGGTTTGTGTTGTATTCTTCCAAACGAACGCTTCCTTGACAGCAGGCCGTCCGCAGCGAGCCGGCCGGGATGCCTGGACCAGCACAGGGGCCCGCCCGGCCCGTCCCCAGGGCCCTTCCCTGGCACCCACGTATCTACCTCCACGCACAGATGTGAACAGAAATCACATCTGTGCCTCTGAGGGTGTCATCCGAGCCCTGGGGGTCCAGCCAGGCACACCCCAGAGCCAGCTCCCATGGAGTCTGCCCCGTGGTGTCAGGGAGGAGGGGGATCCGGGTGTGACCGGGCACCGGGAGTGACACCTCCAGCATTGTCTCAGGGAAGCTTCTAGTCATGAGCAGGTGGCCCTTGCTCTCCCCAGCCCTCTCCCCTAAGCCCCTTCCCAGGCTGCAAACTCCCCCGCCCTCTCCTTGGCACTCAGATGGTTATGGTGGTCTCTCTGACACGAGAGGAGACAGAGGGCAGCCCCCTTCTGCCTGCCCCCCAAGTCCCTGGCTCCTTGGCTTCGACGTCCCTCGGGGTCAGGCCATGTCGGTCAGCAGTCGGGCCCAGGTCACTAAAGCTCAGCGCTGCACCTGCACGCATACTCGCACGCACACACATACCCACACTCACACTCAGACACACACGCATGCACGTAAACACACACTAAAACATGCACACACACCTGCACGCTCGTATGTGTGCACTGACACATTCACACTTAACACGCATGACACGTGGTCAGCCATGAGCACAGATGCGGGTACGTAACAGGTGCACCCGCGTGCACACGTGAACGTAGGAAAAGACAAATTTTCACACGTGCAGCCGCATGCAGAAGCATATGCACACTCACACACATCGGGTGAAAACACATACACACCCACTAAACAAGTGTAGATGCACAAATGTTCCTACACATTCCCACAAAGATACGCAGACGTGGATGCAGATATGTTCAATGCACACACCCACTCACACGCTTTGCGCACACACAGCTGCACACCCACGCTCACCCACACACACATTCACACCTACACAGTTACACGCCTCTGCACGAGTACACATGCATTCCCACACTCGCTACAAGCGCACACATGCACACCTTTCAATCCATTTGTGCAAGAGCTTTTATTGCACGTGTTCTCTCCCGCCTCGGGCAGGGAGGGGGATGCCCGCTCTGGGAGAAGCTACTGTTAGGCCGTCACCTGGGGTGGGGCCTGGGGATGGGCCCAGAGGTCGTCTCCCCGGGGAAATTTATGGCTTTGAGCTGACTGTTTGGCTTGGCACGGTGGTCAGGATGCCGCCTTGTAAACTGAATAATAGCTGCCCCCCCCTTTAATTTGTTTGACCTTGGCGAGGGTAATTTATGAGATGCATTAGAGCTCGGCTGTGTTTTCTCCTAATTCATAAACAAAGCGCTCGCCAGCTTCCTTCTCTGCTCCCCAGTGCGGGGCCTCCTCAAGCCCAGGGTGGCCTCCTGCCATGCGGGGTGGGGCCCAGGGCTTCTCGGCGGTTCTGATGATGCAGACACAGGGTCCACACAGTCCCCAGCTCCCTGAGGCAACCACACCTAGGTCTGGGAAGCGGGGGCGGGAAGGAAGCAGGAACAGCCCGCATGGAAGGCAGGGCCCCCTGCACCCCCCACCACGGGCCCGGGGCCTGGGCCCCATCTCGTGCTCCCCACCCACCTCCCTCCTGTCTCCCCCGCAGAGGAGCCCACGTTCCGCTGTGACGCCTGTGACGAGCTCTTCCAGTCCAAGCCGGACCTGCGGCGACACAAGAAATACGCATGTGGCTCCGTGGGGGCCCCGCTCTATGAGGGCCTGGGTGACGGGCTCAAGCCGGAGGGGCTCGGCGGCGGGGGCGGCGGCGAGCAGGCCCACGAGTGCAAGGACTGTGAGCGGATGTTCCCCACCAAATACAGGTGCTGCCCCTGCCCCGCCCCCGCCCCCAGCCTCCAGGCCCCCCAGGAGCCCCCCCGGCCCCCGCAGCCTCACTGGGCCCTGGCAGCACAGAGGGAGACCGGGGAAAGGCAGACATCGGTCCTGGCCCCTCAGCCCTATCCACACTGACACATGGAGAGCTCCAGGGACAGGTGGAGGCAGGGTCCCCTCCAGAGTGGCACACCTCGGGGGCAGGTACCCCCAGGCATCCAGCATCAGGGACTGAGTAGCCCAGGAGCTGGTGGAGGTAGGCCACAGGGGATCCTGACTCTGGCTGTGAAGGCCAGGCCCCTGGTCCGAGCCCGCCGCCCCTAGAAGATCTGCAAGTGGCCCGGCAGAGACTTTGCTGGCCCCACCATTGTGCGGGCAGGGCTCAGCTGTGGAAACAGGCTAGGAGCAGAGTGAGAGGTGCAGGCCAGACCCCAAGATGTGCAGGGTCAAGCCCCAGGGAGACTCCTGAAGCAGGGTCCAAGACCAGGATGGGGGGATGGCAGCAGCCTGGTGCCCGGGGGTCTATGGAGTGCCCTGACCCTCTGGATACACGGGACTCCTTCTCACACAGTGGGCACGGGCTGGAAGGGGCCACCCAGGGCTCCCCTCTCCCCCACCCCAGCCACCTGCCTCTGCTCCCCACGGATGGACCCCACCTGTCCTGGGAGACCTCACAGGCCCTCCCCTGGAAGGCGGGCACCCTGAGGACCCATGGGAACCCTGAGGAAAGACGAACCTTCTGGGCTGTGTGGGGAGAGAGCCAGGACTGAGGTCCCAGTGCTCCAGGGAAGCCTGAAGACTTTTCCAAGGTGGGCCCCTCCTCCGGCCTCTGAGAATGTCTCTAGGGCGGCCTCGCAAGGTCAGAGTAAAGCCCCGTCAGGTCCCTAAGTGGCTCTGGTACTGCTGGGAACCGGACGCCAATCCCACCGTGGCCTCCCCAGGGACGGGAAACCCTCCGCCCCGAACAGATGACTGAGAAAATAAGCGTTTGGGCAAATCCCGACTGAGGCCCTCAGCGGTAAGCGCTGCTCAAGAGGGTCCGTGTTTTCTTTACATAAACACATAAATCACAATTAACAACAGGGAAAAAGATACAATCTGCCAGTGATCAAGAACCAAGCGTTTCTGATGTAAATGGATGGCTGGGCCCCGTAATTAACGGGCCGTGATGTATTGCTGCTTTGCTCACAGAGATTAACGGTCACACCTGGGACAGGAGGGGAAACAGGACGTCCCCCGAGAGGAGGGGGTCAGGAGCTGTGCCTTCATCCAAGTGCAGCCGCCCCTGCCCAGCAGCTGGGCTCTCCCCACCTTATCAGGCCGCAGTTGGAGACCCACCCGCTCACCCCCAGCCCACCTCCTTGGTGTGTGCATGGCAGGGAGGCCAGGGGTGGCCTTGGTTTCCTGTGCCTCGCCCCCTCTCTGGGGCTCACGGCAATGTCGGAAGCTTCTGTGCCCCTTTTCCGAGGCCCAAGGTTAGCCTCAAGGTTAAGATCATCTTGACGAGCAGCCAGGCATTGTGAGCTGGGGTCCTGCCCTGCCTCTGGCTGCCTGGAGGAGTGGTCTTGGATGAGGGCCTGAGCTTTGTGCAGGCACCACTTCCTCCCCATGTGCTGTGGGAGGGCCGTCTCTGCCCCTCCATCCTGTTGACCTGTCCAGAGAGGAGGTGGACAGACCCGCTGCCAAGACTCACTCTCACCTCTGAGCGGGGCTGGGGGGCTGGGGGCCGCTAGGCAGTGGGCAGGCAGGCAGGCCCCCAGTGACCCGCCCCCTGTCCGCGTGCAGCCTGGAGCAGCACATGGTTGTGCACACAGAGGAACGAGAGTACAAGTGTGACCAGTGTCCCAAGGCCTTCAACTGGAAGTCCAACCTCATCCGCCACCAGATGTCCCATGACAGCGGCAAGCGCTTCGAATGTGAGAACTGCGTGAAGGTAACATGCAAACGCACCTGCCGCTCCCGCCCGTGCCCCCCCCCCCCCGCCCAGCGAAAATGCTGGTGAAGTATGCGGAGCCAATAAGATGCCTGCAGTCCTTTGGGTCCTTCAGTTTGCCAGGGAAGAAGGAAGCACGCCAGGTCACACAGCTAGGGAGGAAGCCAGGGAGACCAGACGCTGTCCTCTCCGCGGTGGGATCCTGCCCCCACCCGTGTGTCAGAGCGCTTGGGCCTAAAAATGCGTTCTGAGCTCTCGCTTCAAGCATCCCAGCCGCAGCTCCCCCGGGAATGATTGCCGGAGACGCAGAGTCTGGGGGGAGGCTCGGTGGCTCCTCTGAGGTCATCCGGGGGTCACCCCGACAGCAGAGACCCCTCCCGGACAGGCTCAGTGCAGGGGCCAGAGCAGCACTGAGGGCCCCACCCAGAGGCCGGAACTGGGCCAACGGGGGAGCAAGCAATGGCATCTGTCCCCCCAGGTGTTCACCGACCCCAGCAACCTGCAGCGCCACATCCGCTCCCAGCACGTAGGAGCCCGGGCTCACGCCTGCCCCGACTGCGGGAAGACGTTCGCCACGTCCTCGGGCCTCAAGCAGCACAAGCACATCCACAGCACCGTCAAACCTTTCATATGTAAGTGGTCCCCCAGCCTGGTCTCCCCTCTGGCCTCCATGGGGGGTTGCTCAGAGGTCAGGCCAAGGCATGCAATCCCTGGGCTCTCCCAGTCGCAGGACCCCTGCTTACTCAGAATCCTCTGCCGGGTGAAGCCCAGGCCGCGGACCCCCTCCTGGCACCACCTCTTCACCACTTGGCTCTGCCGCACCTGCTCATCTTGTGACCCACCTCTCTCTTGCTGTGGCCTCATTTTCCCCTCCTGCTCTGCTTGGTTCCTCCCCCTTGCTTACCCCTTCAGTGGCCAGAGGTGGGTGGTAGGAGGCAGGGAAGGACCGTTTCAGCAGTCCTGGGTCCTGCAGAAGGAGCCAGCAGCCCACCCCACCCCCGTTCCCTCTACTCTCCCTTGTACTCACACCCCAACCTGAGCTCTGGGAGGCATAGAAATCCTAGTGACACTCACTGAGCTCTGCTCATCCCCACAGCACCTTTATGGAGCCCAGCCTCTGTAGCCTGCACCATCCGGGCAGCAGGGGCCAGGTGTAAATGCCCCTGTCATCACAGAGCTTACATGCAGTGCAGGAGACAGAGGCTAAGCCGTATGAGCAGTAACGGCACATGGGACCAGCCTATCAGGATAGAGGAGGTGGCGCAGGGTTAGGAGGCTCTCCAAGTGCTCAGGTCGGCCCAGGTGAGTCCTGGCCCTGTAAATACTGTGGGAGCCAGGACGGCTTGTCAAACGAGAGGCATTCTAGCAGAGACCTGGAGGAAGGGCAGGTGTGAGCCGAGGGGGTACCTGCGGGACGGGGGGGGAGGGGGTGGTGCTCGAGACAGGGACTGGGAGCAGAGAGGCCTTGAGGCCAGCATGTTTGAGGGAGTAAGTGAGGGGAATAATAGAAGAGTAGCCAGAGGTCACAGGGCCAGGTCTTGGGTACCATGTGAGCCAGAGCAGGGGCATGAATCTTATTCTCAGTGAGTTTGGAAACCACAGAAGATTCTTCTCTACCTAGCAGTGCACTGACTTAGTCATACAAGATTGCACTAAGTCATCATTTCATGTGATTTGCACTGTCATCATCCACACGAGGTCATGCAGGGTCATCATCCTCACGAGATCATGCGGGGTCATCACCCATACAAGGTCATGCAGGGTCATCATCCATACTAGGTTGTGTGGGGTCATCATCCACACTAGGTCGTGCGGGATCATCATCCACACAAGGTCATGCAGAGTCATCATCCACACTAGGGCGTGTGGGGTCATCATCCACATGAGGTCGTGCAGACTCATTATCCACACAAGATCCTACGGGATCATCATCCACATGAGGTCATGCAGGGTCACCATCCACACGAGGTCGTGCAGACTCATCA